CAATTTTAGCTTGTAAAGATGTATGTGTTGAATTGCAGGAGCTCTTCTCAGAAGCTGGTGACCTGAAACGCTATGCTATACATTATGATAGGAGCGGGAGATCGAAGGTATTTTATAACCGAGACTATGCACTTTAAAGGAAAACAATGTGGTTCGGCTGAGATTAATGGAACTGCTTCTTCAGGGAACGGCAGAGGTGGTCTTCTCGCGTAGACAAGATGCACTAGCTGCCGTTAAGAGGTACAGCAACGTTCAGCTTGATGGGAAGCCAATGAAGATTGAAATTGTTGGGACCAACATTGCCACTCCCACTGCCCCTGCTTTCAATGGTGCTTTTGGTTTTGGAGACGCTAATGGAGGTCCCAGAAGGTATGATCTGTTATTCACCAGGACATTGTTAAATTGGTTTAATTTTTTCTCTGAGCTTTTCTATTTAGCTCTTTGATGATAAATGAAAATAGGCTTTGATAAGATTGAAACTCTAAGAGAGTGCTGGTTGCTTCATGTGTGGAAATTCCTTTTATGCACTTGCAGGCCTCTACTCCCACTCTTTAGAAAGGTCATGGAAGAAGTGTATATATTTGATTGTGGAGCACAATTTTGTTCCTTTTTTCTGGGTGTTACTTCTAGCATCAAGTTTTAAAACAGTTTGACAAGACTGGTAATTGTAGTTCAGCGGTAGAAGAAATTCATGTATATACGAACAAAGTGGAGAAGTTAGCTAGTTTTGTCTGAGTCAACTTCAGTTGAAGCGAAACAAGACATTGAATTTGGGAAAACTGATAAATGGGAGGTCGGTTTTAGACACTTAAATTGGAGGTAGTCTTGTGGGTTGATCATACAGAGGTATCTTATCGAAACAACTATCATGCAAAGTTATCGGGGAATGTAAGCTATGTTTGGCTGCAGGAAAGGAGAAAATTGAGTATAAAGTGGGAGTTAGTAAGCTTTTTTAGAAACCTTTCAAGGTTTAGACAAGAGTATGGGGACAACAGTTATTTCGAGGAGAAATTTATTGGCCCAAGAGAATACATTGTCTCATTATGTCTTTCCTCTATCTTGAATAGCAGGCATGCTGTCTTTCTTTTCTTTCCCTTCGCTTCTCGTTTTTTTTTTACATTATGAATATTCAATAAATTAATTCAAGAAGATTTGCGTTTAACGACACATGTAGTTTTGAGGGCATGAAGTAGATTTTGATTACTTGAAATAGGAACTGAACTAATGGAGAATCATTTCGTACTTATTGGGATTTCTGTCATAAATATCAAGATTTTTTTCTTTAAAACTCATACTAAGACCTTTTCTTTTAGTTCGTTGCTCCATTAACTTCCCTGTGTTAGCTTCGACTGTCTTTAGTATATTGAGTATTGGAAGTATTCTTTTTCAATTGGATGTCCCCATAAGGGACAGTCTTGAAAGTATTTGACAGGTGTTTAAATTGTTAAGTCCTTTTTTTGGTATTAGCTCAACCAACAAATTAGATGTTCGTCCCCTTGAAGCGTGACCTTGTATTGAGTACCTTGCCTTTCCTGAGGAATGTTAAAGTACATAATTGTTTATTTGATGAAAGTTGTTACCCAAACAAAGTCATCATGCAACGTGGAAGTTGGTGAAGAATCGAAATTGTTGCACTGAGAGCATTATCTCCTTGAAGTGAAGTTTTAAAAGATCTATTGGAATTAGTGTTGGAGGTTTACTATGCTGATGGGCCAATGTGATGGCTTTGGTTTGGAAAACTGAAGAGTTCCCCTCTCTGGTTTAGACCCCACCCACTTTCCTTACTTGATTAAATGAATCATATGCTTACAACTATTAGTACTTATTCGGCTGATTGGATGATGAGATGACAGCTATTGTAAGTGAATTTAGCTTCAATCACGTAAATTTTTTTCCTGAATAACTTGATCTCTAGTTTTAGTATTGTTTGTTTTAAATCTGTAATGGAGTTTTTCATTTGGTTTCTTCCTCTCTTTTGATGCTGTTTAACATAGTTGTATTAATAATTGGATAATGAAGATATGGAATTAGTTTCTATTCAATGCATTCTAATCATAATTCATGTGTGGTAAAACAGTGGTCAAGCAAGAGGTGGTGGCTTTGGGAGGTCACGGGGTGGTAGAGGACGCGGTCGCGGATTTCGAGGAGGCAGCAGGGGACGGGGAAGAGGAGATCGTGGAGAAAAGGTATCTGCAGAAGATCTAGATGCTGATCTGATGAAGTATCATTCAGAAGCAATGCAGACAAACTGATGGGTCCGGTAGCAATGTTTGCCTCTACATCCAGTGCCTAGTGCAGCCAGACTTTCTGTACTTTAGTGTTCTTCTCTTTTCAAGTTGCAAGAAAGAAAGTACTTATAGGAAGATTTGAATATTTGCTGTATGGGAATTGAGCTTCTTCTTTATTTGTTCCCTTGATTTGGATTTGTGCTTGGGTGGAGTGATTTGTGTATTCTACCAACTCTTTAGTTTATTTAAGAGGTGGACGATTAGAGTGGAAATGCTTATCCTTGCCCATCCCACGACAAAGCTTTGCCTCGACGGTGGCAGACGCCAGCTGAAGGTGGTGGCTGCCCTGTGTACTGAAGTTCTGCAAGTGCTTCTTGTAGTCAATTATTTGGGCGTCAATCGTGAGGTAGTTTTTGTCGCTTTGTTCTTGTCCACTGCTTTCACAATTGCAGTCCTTGTGCACTTTGCAGTTTTGCTGTATGTGTCGACTTAATTTTATCCATGTTGATAATGAGTTCTACAAACTGTTGACTTAGGAAGAACGTAAGTGGGATTAATTTTGGGCGACTAAAGCTGCCTCCCCTGACTAGAACTGCCTCCCCTAATGTACTATTTTGCGAATATATATATTTCTACCTTTTATGACATGTTTATAACGAGCTTGAAAAACTGTTGCATTAGGAACAGGTAGGTCGGAACATAATTGGGTGACTAAGCTGAATCCTTTGAATGATTATGTCTTATTGCAAATACATGGGATGAGTAAGCTGAATGATGGTGTTCTCGGGCCCGCAGACTGCTCATCTTGTGGATGATATGTTGATGTCGCCGGAGAAAGAGGCTTCGTCCTCTTTCTGTGAACATGGTGTTTGAGTGAGGTGGCGGACTTTCTGCATTTCTACATCATTATGGAGCTTATGCCCCGTACTGTAGAATTGCTCGAGTTTGCCGTCTTTGCATCTCGGTTATGTGCATTTAGATCTTTTATGTGCTTCCCAAAAGTGCTTCTCTTGCAATCTCTTCAAGTGTGGAGCATCATCCAGCATTTCATATTAATTAGGCTGTTGGTAATTGAAATTCAACGATTAGAAACTTGGATCATTGAGTTGAATATGCATTCTGCTATGTCCGTATTCAAAAATCAAATTTTCTTGGTTTCTTCTCACTCTTATGATCTTGCTCGGAGTTGCAACTAGATCCTTCACAGACAATGTACATTAGCCGCCCAGTAGGTATGCTGATTATCTGCCGGGTGATGTGTCAACTGATACTTCCCTGTGAATGGCTGTGGTGCTAAAGAGGGCATACTGACTCCCTTAAAAAGCCTGAAATATATATGCTGAGATATGAATGGTGGCTGATCATCATCAATGGATCTCTTGTAAAGAATGTTTGTAGCTCGAACGACCATGTTTCTGGAGCAGGTTTGAGCTTTGTTTTTGATCGCCTTTTAATCGAAGGTGTTTGCAGCGTGTCCAAACAACAATCTGGAACAGAGTTAAGGAACAATGAAGTTTCTTTCTTTCTGTTTGTAGGTGCGGGTCCTGTCCATATTTGGGAAGGTAGTAGTTTACGAGGAATACTTTTATCTTTCTTGCGATTGTATTTTATAGGTGCTTTCTTGTGCATTCTTTCGGTGGTGATTACCTTCACCTTCGGCCGAGTAAAAAACTTACACATTATGTAACGTTCGCGGTATTTGGCAATGGGCTTGTAGTGAATCTATATGATGATTTTTCTGCCAGTCCACACCTAGTAATACCATCGGCGCTGCATCCACTTCTGATCCTTTCTAAGAAAATCAATGCAATTTTTATGTCTGTTAAGATATTGAGTCTTGCCTTGAATTTTCTTTTTTTCTTTACCTGATTCCTTTAAAAGAACAAGGCACAATGTGCGAGTTAGTGCACTTACAATGCTGCAAAATATGAGAGGTGCTGAGTGTTCAGTTTTGGAAAACGCAGATTGCTCTTACAATTCCAAAACTAACCAAGAAACAAAAGAGTACTCGTGAAACGTAATATTTTGGACCATCTTACTGACGTATGTAGCCGTGTAGGTCATTTTGTTCTTTTAGGCTTTGATCTCGAGTTATTCATCCAAATTTAATCACGGACAAATAATCTGCTGTTTTCTGTGCACGTATGAGTTGAGCCAGCTAAGCTGGGAACAAACCAGTATTGCAAGGAAGTAACATATTCGCTACAGTAGGGAAATCGAGAATAATCATGACTTCCGTAAATTTACACCATCGCCACCGTTGAAAACAATAATCCCCCAAACGTCCTAATTACATGCAAGGAAAAAAGCTTTGATACATCAATGACCTAATTTCTGGCTAAAACATACAACACAACACTACTCCACACCAGCTAGATGTAGAACAATTGGTGCGACATCATTGCTCCTTTGGTCTCCTCACTTTATCCCAACTTGAAAATATTAACCTCAAAAGAGAATAAAATATAGCAAGTATGCACGACTTTATAAAGTTCCAAAATGAAGAAGGCCAATACCAAGGATATAGCAATCGGAAAAAGAGACTTATGATATGTCGAGGGTATCGTCCAACCTGAAACAACACATTAAAGCATGTTGTTAATAAAACATAACATGACCAAATATAGGAACATAACATGGCCAATCCCAATGTTCTCTAACCGCTATCATATGCTTCCATGTCAAAATGAAATTCATTCAACATTTACCGAGGCACTGGCAAAATAATTGAACCAACTTTTCTAACTAGTCATCTTTTTCATGCTATCCGCTTATAAAATATCACCAGGGTCAACCACAGAGTAGGTTTACTTCTAGTCTGGACTTCACCAACAGAACTCAAAAAAAAAAAAAAAAAAAAAGAAGAAGAAGAAAGAATGCTACACCAAGGATTTGAACAGGTAACTAACAGTAATTTTTGAACTACCTTCAGCACTACACTAGAATCACCCCTCATGTCAAGGGGATCCAACAATTTATATATATGGAAAAATTTTTGTCGTTGACCTCTTTGCACAGTGTAGGACTCAATTGAATCCCCTAGTGTCCTAGCTCCGCCCCTGTTCATTAGTGTTCTGTAATTCTTTATCTACTTGTTAGGTGCATTGTGCATCAGGCTACTTTGCCACACCAAATTTTTTTATGATAAATACATACATCTTTATTAATCCATAAAATGTCTGAAATAAATATACTTCATGGAATATTGGTTTGAAATGATATCAAATCATAAGTCTATTCCAATAATAGAAAGATTACTCACAGGATATAGCAAATCTAATGCATCCCATGCTGCATGGCGAACAGCTCTTGTTGGGTACATGGGAGCACCTGGTGACGTGAAACTATACAAGCAAGTTTTCAATCTTGTACTGGTAGCCATTCTCAACTCTAATCCTGCAGAGATGTCACTGTAATGTAACTCCATACATTTTGGAAAACCTGCACTATTGCAGACATTCAAATTAGCTAGAACTACCTTTACCTTGAAGGACTTTCAATTGGGAGAGGTAATGCAACAATACTGGCTCCACTTTTAGTTTTTGAAGCTGAAATCAGAAGTGTAAATGAGAAGATACCCAGCGAAAATGAAGGAAAAGACTATGGGGATGTTGAAGATCCTGTTCTCTTACCTGATCAGCTAGTTCAGTTACAAATATATCTGCTGGACCACCAATCAAGAAAGCATTTGGAAAATCAGGAAACTGCCTTAAAAAACTTCCTAGCCTGTCAGCTGCAAATAGATTCAACATAAGCATGTAATCTTAACCTTGTATGCAAGGTTACAGCTAAGATCAGCTTACCTTGGTTATATAAGAATATGAACCTTGAAAGGAGGAGAAATAAATCTCTTTGGGCCTAACAAAATGAAGACAGCGAATGATGTTAGGACACACCCACTAAAATTAGACTTGCTTTGGCACACAGGTAAATCAGAAGGGGCAGACATCAGACCTGCAACGGGATCTTCTTTAATCGATCTGGAACAAGGGCAACTTCCTCAAGCAGATACTGTAACACACATCCATATAATCAATTGTCACCATTTACTTCCATCGATCTAAAAGCAACAAAAGAAGCACCAGTGCTACACTTCACTCCAAATACTTCACAAATAAAAATCAATTCAGGGGTATTTGACCTGAAAAAGACTCTGGAAACGCCTTGTATTTGTTTGGATGTCGATCCTGCAAAAGGATATGTCAACCAATTACTTAACACACTTTACTATAACCCCCACACCCCGTTCCCGACCTGTTCTTCTTCACTTATGCACAGTGAAACACATAAAAGAAAGAGCAATAACTACATAATTTCTAAAAAGAAAACCTCTGTCTGACACAACGATACAGTTTGACAGAAATATTAAGGTCTATTTTATGAGCAGCAACAGAGTAAATCTCTGAGTGGCGTATATATATTAACATAGATATGAAGAACACAAGAAGGTAAAGAGAGTTGACGATAATGATGTAAAAGCTAAAGTTGATCCAACATGATGATGTATACCAGTCAGGCAAGAGAAAATGTATGCAAAGCAATCAATGTCTCTATATTAATCAAGGAAACTCAGGCAGGTTGCATAAGGGGAAAGCTTTACTGAGTGCATAAAGCAACAGGGCCTCAAGATTGTTGCATAAAGGAAAGACCCTGTATAGTGAACTTAATCACATTTGACCCTTGATATATCTAGGATACAAAGAGTTGTGCCCTTGAAGCAGTAGCAAGGTCAGCACTAGAATGTGTTAGAAAACGCACACACAGTTAGCTTCCTGAGTTTCTAATTTAATAGAAGCCTCAAATGAGAAGTGACATTGGCGATCAACAAAATCTTAAAATAAAAGCAAAACTCATACCAGAATACATTTGTAGCTCCTTGAACAAGAGCTGATGAGTAGCGGAGGAGGACTTCAGAATTTTCAAGTTGAACCTCAAACAACTGCAAAGTAGAAGAATATGTAAAAGAGTAGGTTCATCACCATTGCATGAATAAAAAACACATCTCCTCTCCTTTCCCCCTCGCCCTTCCTGCTTTTCTTCCTGGTGAGGTCTTTTTTTTGTGTGGAGTTGAGGGTGGGAAGGACGAGGCGGCATTGTATGAACATCTAGATAAGATTTACAGATAACACCATCAGATACGGCTTTTATTATTGGATATGCCTACATAGTTACAGATTGAAGAGATTCTAGGGTACGCATAGATATTCCCTGCCAGTTTTAAAGGGAAATGAGTGAAATTACTGCATTCGGAAAGTCAATTCGGAGAGTAAAA